GTATTTTATTTGACAAACACTATTTGATTTGTTACTGTGTGACAGTATCAGCAACACACCCTCCTCATTTGCCATTAAAGTTAAGCGGTTCAATTATTTGTATGCTTTTTTTTTTTTTCGACATAAGGAACTCCTACGTACCACCTACCTCCAGTCAAGACCCCCGCGGGTGCCAAGAAGAAGACTTCCAAGCACTGCTTCCTTTGCGGCAAGAAGACCGGCCTAGCCACCAGCTACGAGTGCAGGTACGAGGGCGTGCCGACAGACCCCAAAACCAATTCCGCCGCTTTCGTACTCATCAGAGTAACGTTCAGCCGTTAGCTGCAATCCGGCTTTCTCGCGGCAACTTTCGCCGCATCGCTCAGGCCGAGGGAGTGTTCCATCTGATGCGACTGTGCGTAACCCTAAACAGCGACCACTAAATCGGAAAAGCTTCATGCTAGCAAGGCTAACAGTTTAGCGCCATTGATGTCGTTGAATCTCCCTTCCAAAGCATCGGACCAGTGAGGCCTATTCACTCATTTTGCTATAGACTCAATACTTTTGGGTTCGAGAGGAAAAAATGAGACAAGGGTTCCAAATTTGAGCTTTTATTTCAAGCTATTTCTAGCTATTTCCTCGATGATGGGCCCTTTTATTTCAACCTGTGCATTCTTGTCATGTCCAAAAAAAAAAAAACGTATTGACACGGTTGCTTTTGAAGATGGCATTTCCAAGTACCATCATAACCTGAGTGATGTCTGCGAGTAGTTACACAAAATTGCAAAGCTAGCAGAACATGCAAAATCAATCGGAGTTGTTCCACAAACATGAGCCACAGCCATTTGGAATGTCCTGAAGAAGAAGAGGGGGGGGAACCCCACCAGTGTACAGAGTAACAGATGTAGACCGAGGCTTAACAACAGCAGTTGATGACAGGAGCTGGAAGCAAAAACAACCCTTCGTGACAGCAGGAACAACCTCACAAGTACAGAATTCTACGCGAATGCACTGATAAGCAAGAATTGACTGAAAACGTACACGGCCAGGCAGAACATTTGACTGATTTATGACACATAATTTGTTCATCTTTACAACCGAGAGGAATTTACTGTTTCCTGAGAAATAAAAAAATATATATCAGCGTAAAACTGCACAAACAGCCAATTATCATTTTTAAAACTTGTACCATATAATTGGTCGGGCCCTAAAAAAAAAAAATGTGTCCAGTCACGACTTTTTTGTTGTGGAGCTAAAAATAAAGCCCTGCTATTTATAGATCCGACTTGGTGACAAGAATATCTGCCTTTTGATTTGGTCGTTCAGGTGCGGCAGCAACTTCTGCGCCGCTCACCGCTATGCAGAGACGCACGAGTGCTCGTACGACTACAAGGGGACGGGGAGGCGCTTCCTGCAGGACGCCAACCCGCTCGTCAGCGCTCCCAAGCTCCCCAAGATCTAGAAAGCTCTTTCTAGAAAACCTCCCGTCAGACTAAGGAGAACACGTTCAGCCCGAGACGGACGGATATTATTCACCAACGTGTGCTTTGTTTTGTTTTGTTTTTTTTGTATTTAGTTTTTTGTTTTGTTTGTCCCCCTCTCAGCCAAGCTTGAACTCTCCTATGGAAAAAAGGTGTGGACAAACAGCAGATGATCAATGTGAAAATATTTTATTTGTTCAATGAATCCATTGAAGTGTGCACGTGTAGGTTGTTTGCTGCAAAATATCTGCTGCATGTTCAGACATTTAAACCCCCCCCCCCCCCCCAAAACAAAAAAAAACGCCGATTGATTTCCATTGGGCACGTCTTGGCCAGATGCACTTTAGAAATATCATATTTAAACTTTTATTCTCAGCTGAGGGGTCTTTTTTTTATTGTCTCATGAAGTGTTTTCTTTTTTTTTTTTTTTTTTTGGATCTTGCGCCTGAAACGTCTTGTCTTGTTACGGGCCCATACAGATGACCATACAAATGAACTACGACCATCTGTGTTGAAAGTATTTATTCATGGAATATTTAAATTCAAATATGCAGTCTGTGTCTGTTTGAATGCCAGTTATAATTGTGTATAATTGAGAAAGGGGGGGGGGGGCGGGATATTTCAATGTCTTTCGGCAGTACGGTGGTTGCCATAAGAATCTTTTGTATTTTGTCTTTTTTTTTTTTTTTTAAATGCTCAGCCGTGAGCAAAAATTTCCAATGCTGTCATCATATCTGAAGGGGTTTGACTTTAAATAAAGTTTCTTTCCAAACCTTCAGATAAAATCACTTGTTTCTCCAATTAATTTTGTTCCCAAATCTGCCGGCCACCTGAATTAAGAGTTAATTTATCCACTGGAGTCAATACACGCCTTCATGTTTCCTCTCAAGGAAATAAAAACCTGTTAATGAGAAGTTCTCTCAGTTCGTAACCTGTTTTTCAGCCCGTATAACCCGCTTACTCTGTTGCTAACCAAAACAGCACCGCCTGCAGAGTCACAACAAAATGTGGAAGACGTAGCATGTTGTCTACAATATTCCGCCGTGCACTTGTGTCTCTCGCTTTCAAATATGTTGACTTGTGATAACCAAAACAGCAGCCCCGTGAACAGTTATTGTGAAAGAGGCAAGAATCTGGTGCCATATGGAGTCTGGTGTCTTTCCGGATGTGTGGTTGTTCCTCTGTTGCTAACCAAATCAGCAGCACCTACAGAGTCACATGCATAGATCAAGTGCGACTTATCACACGTAAACAAGTTCCCTTCCCTGAAAGATAAAGATGCTCTAACGTTTTGTGATCCCTCGATAGACTTGACATCTCTGTTGCTAACCAATGCAGCAGCAGCAAAATTCACATTGGAACAAACCTTTACATAGCCATAACTCAAATTAAAGCTCACGATGACACCATTCTCATAGCGGCCTTATTTTGCTACTGTCGGCTTGTATTTGGAAGTCATGACGCAAAACAAACCAAAAAAAAAGTATTTGCTTCTCTTTGGTGAATTACTTTCAACTAAGCTGGACATGGAACTGACTCCAAATTCCCTCGGTAGTTGTTGACGAATACTGACTTATTCTTGTGCCAGCGATTTGCTGGTTACTTAGCAACAAGATGACATCTTTTTTTCCAGATGTATTAAATATATATCACTAAGACAATAGAGTATTTTGACCCATAACGAATCGTGTCTTTTATTTTTTCTGCTTGGCAGGTGAGTCATGAGGCATGTGTGGTGGTGCTCGGTTGTTTGCGCTCTGTCTCAGACAAAACCTGACCCGAGTCACATGTCGATATCTGGATGGTTGCTCTCTCTGCCGTTTATGTTTGCAGTGTTACGGCTCTGAAATAATTACCCTGTGCACAAACAGTAATTGACCCTGTGAAGCTGCGATGGTCGTACGCTGGCTGGTGCATCGGCATCATATACCACGTTGCGTGCCAGTTCAAGTGGGTTTGTCCGATTTTTTTTTTAAATACTTCATTTAGGTTTTATTAGTTTTAGTATTAGATTTAGTTTATTTTGAATGATGATATCAACTGAATGCATGTTTTCTCCTGTTAAAAGGAAAAAAAAAAAAAAACATGCTCTCTGCGCGTTCCCACGCAAATTGCTGGATTTCATGCATCCGTCTGACTCCAAAGACACATAACACGCATGACAATTTGGCAAACTCACTTCACTCGGGAGAACAGAGGCTCCGTTGTCCCGCCCCGAGGATGGCGTAGAAGCCTGCGCATTCATGATCAGGCAAAACACACGGACACGTTTTGCATCCATGGACAAAGACGTGAGATTGTCACATTCCTCTGGTTAATAAGTTAATAACTGACTTGGGGCTGGATGTTCCTATTGACCATAACTCTACACACCCCTGTTAGAATGTCAGTTTGAAATATAGTTCAAAACAGAGACCAAGATAAATAATTTCCAAACTTTTCCCACTAGTTATGTGACCTATAACCTGGACAACTCAATTGCAAAAACAAACAAACAAACAAACAAACTGAAATAATGTGGTTGCACAAGTCTGCACACCCTCTTGTAGCTTTGGATGAGGCTTGAACTTTTGAAGGAACCAAACACATGTAATCTCTTGTTAGATGGGAGACGACACACACCTGTCACTGTTTTAAATACCTCTGAGTAATAAAGTTCTGATCCTCTAGTAGGCTTTTCCTGATATTGTTTGTTTTCTACCAGAACCCTGAAGGTTTCTCCCGAATGGGGCCCGATACTAGTTGTTGCTGGCTGGTGGCTAATCGGGCACCCAGAGAGACGGCCGATAGTGGTTCTTATCAATGACACAACTGGAAACCAACACATTGCAATGACATTTCAGGATTGGGGCATATCCCTCATGGGGCTCCGTCTAGCTGATGGTAATATTAGTGTTTTCATGAAAATAATATTTTAAATAAGAATTAGTTTAATGAAACGTGTGTCCCACCACATGCACGCAACCCTCGTACCATAAACCTTTTAGCATGATAGAAGAAGGAAGCAGTCAGTCACATGATATGCTGGTCTTGACATCAAGGTATGCCCTTTTTTCTATTTTTCATATTTTTAGAACATAGCTAGCCTTGATGGAATGTCTCACTGTACTACTTTTCTTTACCTATTTTCATAAGCAAGTTTGTCTTCTTGGTCAGTATTAACAGCTAGTTTCACAGGAAGATTTTACCCCTGAAAGAAAGCTAACATTCGTCCGGATTTGCTGCGATTCGTGTGACGAGAGTTGCTTAACAAGGTTGCATTGATTTAGACTTCATAAACTTTAATGTGTATTATTATTATTTTTATTGTTATTATTATTGATTAATATATACCAGAAAATCAGGACAGTGAAGGCTTATTTATCACGAATTTCGAAACACCAATGTCCTCCAATTCTGAATGACCCTTTTATCATTCGGGAAAATAAAACACTTTTTTTTTTTTTAAGTAAATATATTTGTATATGTTGACCGTCAGTGTGGGAAAAGGAATTATTTTTGTATTATTAATTTTATGTACGTTAATTACTGTATCTAAAAAAGAAAAAAGAAAAAGAAAAATATATCATTGCTTATTCGTCATTTTTGGACGGTGGGTGGGGGCTTCTTCATTCCCACTAATTTGGAACCATGGCGACCTTTTTTTTTTTTTTTTTGAACGTCTCCTCTTTTTGCTCTCCTTGCTCGACCCTCTTCCTTCACTCCACGTGAAGACGGAAGTGGGTGACGTCCCTCCACACGCAGCTGCTCCGTGGTGCTCGACTACGGAGCGACTGACGTGAATTTCGAACGACATCACACGTCGTACGACTGGCGACGACCCGAGTCCTCGTTACACTTTGTGACGACAAGAGAAGCACCGTGCGCGGCGACCACCGGACGCCGAGGAAGAGGCGAGGCGGACGGCTACGTTTGTGTCGGTTGGTCGGTCCACCGGTTCCGGACGCAGGTTCGGGAGTAATTGGATATTAATCGAGGGTCTCCGTGGGAAATAAAGGTAGGAACATCATTTATGATATTTAACGTTGTTTTGAATTGCACAGCATAAAAAAAACCGCTCTGTTGCGTTTTTGTTTTTTTTAATATTAAAGGTGGCTCCCATACCATTGGACTCCCTGGACATTTTATTAGGTATACACATTAGAATCTAAAACGATGCCCTATACAAACTTATACTGCTGACTTTAGAGGCGTATGAGAGAGGTATTAAATGAATGTTTATGATTGTGGTTGTTTGGGTGCCTCCACGTCTTGCGAAATATTAGGAACCCTCCCAGTATGATGCACTGCAGCTTTTCCATTCAATTCCTGTATTGGGTCTCGTTGAAACTGCAAGTGGTGAGTGGAAGGACGCATGATGGATGGATGGAGGGGGGCTCCGTGTGTCGGTCCCTGGTGGGATGCAGGCGTGGACGTACAGTCAAGCTGGCGGATTGCATTTCATTGGTTTTTCTGTGGTGTGCAGCAAAAATGATGATGATGATGATGATGAAGGAAATGAAGATGATGAACCTCAAACGCAAAATGTTGCCTTTTTAATCTAAGAGAACTCATAGATTAAAAGGCAATGTTTTTATTTCCAGAAGCTCTTTTAAGTTTTTCTTTAATCATTTGTCTGATGAAATTGTAATAGATATTTGAAACGCAACTGATTATCGTGTCGGCCTCACAGTGCAGGGTTCGATTTCGGCTTCCGGCCTTCTTGTGTGGAGTTTGCATGTTCTTCCAGTGCGTGCAGAGGTTTTTTGTGTTTTTTTGTGGGTATTCCGGTTTCCTCCCGCATCCAAAAAGCATGCATGGCAGACGAAGGGATCACTCTAAATTATCCCCAGGTGTGATGATGAGCACAAATAGTTGTTTGTTTATGTGTGCCCTGCGATTGGCTCGCAACCAGTTCAGGGTGTCCCCTACTTACTGCCCCGTAGACAGCTGGAATAGGCCCCAAGTTTTCATTTAGGATTGAATTATTTTGGATTTTTGTGAGTTGCATGGGATCATCATCGATCATTAGACTGAATTATTTATGTTTGTGTTCTTTTGTTTTTTCTTCATTTTTTTCTTCCTTTTGGTTTGTGCATTATCTGCAATGTCAATTTTAAACAATGCCTTATTTTTTTAAAAAGGGGATGAAATTAATTTTTTTAAAAATTGATTCATCGGTCAATCAACAAAATAATTGACAGATTAAAGTAATTGTTAACTGCTGTTATATATCGTCTCGGTTCTTTGCCATGCACTTTTTAATATCGTACTGTAAATATGCCGTAATGGTAGTGTTGTGGCAATACATGAATCATTTTGGTCCAACCAAGTACTGTGCAGGCTTGTTGCTTGAAATTGAACATCATCCCTCCCCAGTCTGGATGGGCGACTATCGGGAGTTGTTGCGGAGAATGAGCCCACGGCGTGTGCCTTAAATCAATGGAGTGTGGTGTGGCTTCCAGCTGATAGTTAGCGCGCATCTCGCATTTCAGCGCCGGGCTGCGGGGATCATCTTTCATCCCACTGTGTGCCACGCGCGTCGCGTAGACGTGGGCCATACTTTTCAGTTAGGCCGCCACTTGTCATCTTGACTCTACGCCTTAAAATTAAAAAATATATATATATATATATAAGTCATGTCATGGGCTGGAGTGTGGTGGTCAATGGTGTGATTGTGCAACTGTCATCTGTGTTACATCATTGCTGTTGCCTTTGGTTACACTCGTGCCACTGTTGTGGGCGACTGAAGGTGAAAAACAAATCATTGAGCGTTAGTTGATAGCTTTTACAGTTCCAGTCATTCAGTAGCGTCTCCACAAAGCCACTTTTGGCCTACAGGTACGCAAACAAACCAGCGTAGCAAATGACCGGTGCCGCACACCAGTAATAGTAATAGGCTCAACCAGGAGAAAAAGAAAACTACACTAATAGAGCAATCATTCTACTAGTGCGGCCTTGAAATGTTACCAATGCACTGAAATTATGGTAAGATAAGATAACCTTTATTTGTCCCACACTGGGGAAATTTGCAGTCTAGATTTTTAGTCTAGTAAAGAGCGTACTAGTGCATGGACTTCATACTCTATTCGAAGGATACTCAAACTCCGGAATGTATTAATGAAACCAAAGTAAATTTAATTTTTTTGTTCTCCTGGTAATTTGATGTTAAACTAAGGCTGAAAGCCTTCTTCCAATATTCTTGATTTCTGTTTTATCATCCGTGTACACGTCCCTAGGAGAACAATTTGACATCTGTGCTCCTTGAACAAGTGTCATGTATTTCTACTGGTGAAGTGCTAGTCGAAAAAGTTTTGTCCTCCTTGATCAGTCCTACAAGGGTGGTGGTGTCTGTAAGTTTGACGATGGGGTGAATGGGAGAGCAGAGGAGTAGAGGAGGGTACTGAAGAAAGATCCCTGAGGGATCCCTTTGTTTAGAATGAGAGTGGAGGAGGTGCCATTTTGGGGTCTGTTGCTTGGAAATTCACGTATCCAGGTGCACATTGAGCTGTATTTCTAGGGGCAGTGCAGAAATCAATACCACAGAATCCACGGAATTCATAACAACCTGAACACACCAGATTGTAGCTGTTGACCCATGTGACAAATATGACAGTTTTGCCCAAGGTTGTCGCTCTCTCGACCGCCCTTGTTGCCTGTGTCATGCTTCTTTACACGTTAGCTTCGACCCGTCCCCTGTTTCATTTCACTTTTTTTTTTTTCTCCCGTCGCAGTCAACAAGCTGGCGTGCTAATCTTGGTTATGTGCTAAAAGAAATCAAAGATTGCCGTTGGTGTTAGTGGATCTGCTGCTGGGTTGCTGTATTAGTCTTTGAGGGGGGAAAAAAAAAACAGTTGCTCTTTTATTCATGAGCTGCTTTCACCTTGTTGAGGTTTTATGGCCAACTCTCGGGTGCTGGATCATTATTAAGGCCCGAGCATGCGCTGCACAAGGCCCTCATGAAATTGCTTTTGTTGATATTCTTTGGCTGATATCAAAGTAAAACATTTCCAGGGTTTTCCAACCTCTACATGTATATACGTGGTGCGGCATTCGCTAACTCATGCATTTTATATTATTATTTTTTTTCAATCTGTCCTCAGTTATTCGCATTAAAAAAAGTCAATGTTTTGCTCAGGTCGAAGCAAAAACCTTATTTTTTTTTGGGGGGGGTGGTATTTTGTGGCAAAGGGATCATGTTTAGGAGGTTAATTTAGTCAAACATAGTGCTTTGCTTCCATCTTGTGGCATCTTGGTGCTTCTTCGGCGACCACTCGACAACCGGCGCTCCGCCGCCCGTTCTGAGAAATGTCATCTGCTCGTGGGCATTTCTTGAAGGCATCAGCGAGCCTGACAGAACAGGAGAACACACGAGCGGTCATAATTATGCTTTGGGAAAACATTGCAAGACTGAAAGACCGAAGGGCACTTGCCGAGACTATTGTGAGCTTGCAAATTGAACTCTGCGCTTTCTTGTCTTTTGAGCCGCGTTAAGGAGGGAAGTCATTGTGCGACGGGAAGAATGCAATCCCCGACTACATGAAGGCTCCATTAGGAGCCGGCTGCCGCCATTGTTGTGCACAATAGCTTGTGATGGTGCAAAGTGTTTCCCGACGTAGTTGACAAAATGCAACAGAGGAGGAATTTGACAGCTTCCATTGTAAGCCACTCACTTGCAAGGCTGGTTGGATGAAATTCCCGTCGCTGATCTGCTCACAGACATGTTGCATTTTAAAAAAATAGATTTCATGAAAAAAATGAAAACAAGTCAAAACTCTCTTAGCCAGCCTCCCACCCCAAAAAAATAAAAAATTAAAAATTGTGACTCGTTTTAGGTTTTCTACTTGGCCACCAGGGGCAGTGTAATACAAGTCGTGCGGATGTAAACCAATTTAGAGGTGCAACTTGATTGAGCCGAGGCACATATTTTAAAGTTGAAAATCGGCACACAGCCAAACAAAATTGTCCCAAATAGAGGATTTCATACTTTTTGCCATCTGATAGATCATTTATTTGTTCTTTCTGTCACTGTAAGTTGCCGGCATAGATAGATGGACAGAGATACATGATTTGTTCTTGATCAATAATTTTTCTCACCAATTCAGTGAAATTTGATCATTTCCCACGGCACACTAAATGTGCGCCGGCACACTGGTTAGGATTCACCGGTCTCGCTCCTTCAGCATCTCTTGGCCAGCTGTTTCCACCCCCGTCGTTCCATTCTTCTACTTAATCTCTCAAATATTATTGATTGCATTCCGCGAGGAGACAGGAAATGTATTCTGCCAACAAAGACAAGGGGGGCGGGATTGCTGGGCAATGGCACTTTGATGATGCTTCTTGTTGCGGGTCGCAGTGTTTTAATCTGGACGTGGGTGGTCATGCTTCATTCCTCTCATTGCGCTCAACAGAATTTTTTGATTGACTGGTAAATACTACAGTGTGTCTTGGACTTGAGCTTCTTTCTAATCAGGGGTACTAAGAAAGTGAGTGCTGAGAACAAAAGAACAATGTCCATACTGCCCTCCCTAAGTGTGCCGTGTTAAGTTTGGCAACAGCTTGCGTCAAGCTATTATTGACACTCCTGTTTTAAGTTCATTATAAAATTAATTAAAATTTAATGATCATAACCCATCCATATAACTTTGCCTTAATGAGTGTACGCTACCCTACGCTAACTTAATGCTAATGTAATGCGAAGCATCATAGACGGGCTAACCAAGCTAACGTCCTTACCACAGAGATTCACTGTAAAATGTGAAACAAAGAGAATTATCGTGTATTAAACCAAACTACATGATTTTGGTCTTTGGAAAGTACGCCAACTTATGCTAACTCAATGCTAATAAACGGTGAAGCATCATAAATGAGTTAGCACTGCTTATCGAAGTAGTTACTTGGAAGTCACTGTAAAACTACACATGTAAAGCAAGGAGAATTACATCGTATATTCAACCAAACCACATAACTTTGACTTGGGAAAGTATGCTTACTTAACGCTGACTTAATGCTAAACAT